CCCCCCCCCCGCCTCCCTTCTACACCCCCAGGACAAACGGGGCCCTGAGGGGGCCTCTGAGGGTGGGCGTAGGACCCAGCCCAATAACTGGGCAGGCTTCCCCAGCCGACTGGGCAGAGGAAATGCTGGGCGTACTCCCCCCTGATCCGAGCCCCCAAGGGTCCCTCCAGACGTGGGGACCCCTCCCCCCTCTCAGCCACCCCCCCAGGGGTGCCCTCCGGCCTCCAATTCTCCTCCCCGCTCAGTCCCCCCACGTCCTACCGGTTCGTTTGGGGTTTCCTCCTGTCTCCTTGGGCGTCGAGGTCCCCCACCAGCATCCAGCAGGCTGGGTGTATTTTAAATTATGTTGTACATTTTCTACAGTGATCAGCTTATGAGGCTAATCTTTTGGCAAGTTTTAGGAGCACCTGAGATAAAAAGGCTCAGTGGCATGCACAGAGCTCATTTTTAGGCAGTATTTTGTGTACATGTTTCTTTGAGGTACATAACTGCTCAGCGAATAACCACTCCAGGCAAACATTCAAAGTTATTTTTATCCAAAGACTAGAATTTACTAAGTGACTCTTATTGTCAGATGGTTTTAGGCTGTTTAAAAGGGAAACAGTCAAATCTGTGGGCACAGGGAAACCAGGAGGCACCTTTGGTCATCTGTGGCCTACCCACTTCTCACTTTATTGATGGAATGAGGCAAAATGTCATTGCTTGTTGCCAGATTTCACCATGGACTCTGCCAGGCCCTAACCCACGGACAGAGCAGGATGTCTGGTTTTGCTTTTTGTTGCCCTGAGCTGGGAGCTGGGTGGCTCTCTGTCTAGGAGACCTCTTACCACCATTACCTCTCAAAGTATTTTCACCATCATGATATGGGGGGGTTGTCCCCCAGACATTAAAATGAGGTGGACGATCCCCATTTTTCACCTGGAGAAAAGGCCCTGAGTAGTTAAGTGAAAGGCCCAGGGCTGCAGAGTTAGAGGTTTACTCTACTCCTGTATTCTTTGGGCCAGATTATAAACCCCTCATGGGCTGGGGTGGGGACTTTTTTTTAACCATCTCAGCATTATATCGCTTTGATTTTTCATCAGTATGACTGGAAGGTCACAAAGTTGTCGACGCGCTGTTCCTGGGCATTTTTTTCTGTTGTGGGAAGTTAACTGGTTCTGCAGCAGTTCCAAGAGACAAGCGAGAGAAGTCGCTTTACTCATGATGTTCTTGGTTTAATAGTGACAGAGGCTAACATTTCTCGGGCGCTTATGGTGTGCCAAGTGGTTTATATGGATTGTCTCCTTTTGTGCTTCTCATCGACTTGTCTTCCCACTCTGTGGTCGAGGTTGGGAGAGGTTAAATAACTTGTGTAAGCTCACATAGCTACTAAGTGGCTATGGAGTGCAGAAACGAGCCCTTCCCCGGCAAAGGGCCTTCCAGGTTTAAAGAAAGCAGCTCAGGCTTAAATACAGTGTTTTCATGACGTTAGAACTAAGGTGAGTGAATCACTGTTGGAGTGGGAGGCCACGGCCATTCACAGCAGGGAAGCAGAGCTGCTGACCAGCTTGGGTCACTTACGTGAGTGTTTAGACCACTGTCATTCCAGTCTTGGAGGGGAGCACAATCAGTGTCCACACTAAAACAGTGGGTTCTTTTTTTGTGATTTATTTATTTATTTTTGGCTGCATTGGGTCTTTGATGCTGCTGCGCGTGGGCTTTCTCTAGTTGCGGCGAGCGGGGGCTACTCTTCGTTGCGGTGCTCGGGCTTCTCATTGCGGTGGCTTCTCTTGTTGCAGAGTACGGGCTCTAGGCGCATGGGCTTCAGTAGTTGTGGCGTGTGGGATTCAGTAGTTGTGGCTCAAGGGCTCTAGAGCGCAGGCTCTGGAGTTGTGGTGCACGGGCTTAGTTGCTCCGTGGCATGTGGGCTCTTCCCGGACCAGGGCTCGAACCTGTGTCCCCTGCATTGGCAGGCGGACGCCCCTAAAACAGTGTTTTAAATTTGCTATTTGGGGTTGTAGTCACACGTTTTACAGGTAGGTGGGAAGTAAGTGCTAGAACCAGGCTGCCTGTATTCAAATCCTCTCACCTCTGAGCTGCCTGACCTTCAGTAAGTTATTTTATCTCTCTGCACCTTAGTTTTCTCTCTACTCATTCTAAAAATGGGGACAATAATAGTACCTATCTCATAAGCTGTGGCAAGAATTAAATGGCATGGTGCCTGTGAAGCCCTCAGCCCAGTATTTGGCATTTAGTTAAATACTCTATATTCTCTTTTATTGTTCATAGTATCATTTCAGGTAGTGAGCTGCTGCTCTTGTGTGCTGTGTCACAGTGCTTGAAGTCCCCGTTAGAGATTTATTCCTTCGTGCCATCATTCACACGCAGGTGCTCATACACAGGTGATGGTGGTCTTGGGCAATGGGAATTCTTTTGTTCATTCAGCAAATATTTATAGTGTACCTTCTGTGTGCCAGGCCCTGTTTTGCCAGGCGCTGGAGGTAGGCAGTGAACAAAACACAAAAACCCTTGTCCTCATCGGTACTTACGTTTTTGAGTGGAGGGGTGACAGACAATAAACAAAATAAATATACTTATCACATACAGATATGTACTACGGGGAGAAATAAAGCAGGGGATGAGATGAGGGTTGGAGGTTTATGATTTTACTCAGAGTCGGCTGAGAAAGCCTCACTGAGAAGGTGACATTTCAGCAAAGAATTGCAGTTAGTGAGGGAGTGGGCCACGTGGACATCTGCAGGGAAAAGTAGGTCAGGCAGCGGGAACAGCAAGTACAGAGGCCCTGAGGCAGGAGGATGGGTGCCTGGAGCCCAGAGAGGGGCAGAGAATAGGAGAAAAGATCAAAGAGGTAATAGATGGGAGGCCAGAATGTGTAGACCCCGCAGGCCACCAAACAGAAGAATGACATGATCTGACTGATGCTTTTATAAACAGATCACTCTGCTGGGTTTGGGCGAAGATAGAAACGGGAGGCCAGTGAGCTGGTTGCTACGGTGGTCCAGACGGAGGTGATGGTGGCTGACCAGAGTGCAGAGGCGGGAGGAGGTGAGAATGGTGGGAAGCAGTTACATGCTAGGTAAGTGTTGGTCGCAGAAACCATGGGACTTGCTGCCAGATCGGATGACCCCAAGGTTTCTGGCCTGACGCCTGGAAGGTTTGAGGTGCCGTTTGCCAGGGAAGGGGAAGATCTGCGTTTGGAGCATTTGGGGGATAAGGCAGTTCAGCTCTGCACGTGGTTAAGTCTTGCGGGCACCCAGCTGTTGGTGTCAGAGTGGTAGTTGATTGTATGAGAAGGGAGTTTAGGGAGAGAAAGTCCAGACTGGAAATAACCACTTGGTGTATGGGCACTTGTGTGCTGGTGAATGTTTAACAACCTCTGAGAGGATGGCAGTTGGTGGTGGGGAGGCAGGTTGATGGCATTTGCCGACAGACACCTGCTGTGTAAATGTTCCCACACTGGCCAGCCTCAAGCACATGTTACAGAGTATCTGTCTTCACCTTACGGACACAATAGGTTAAATAATGTCAAGAGCATAGATAATAGTAAAAGGAAGTAAATCAATTAGGGAGTGTTGAGTTTTGAGTATTTAATACCTTTGTTTGTTTTGTTTTGTTTTGTTTTTTCTTTGACTGAGCCACATGGCTTGAGGGATCTTAGTTCCCTGACCAGGGATTGAACCCGGGCCCTTGGCAGTGAAAGGTTGGAGTCCTAACCACTGGACCACCAGAGAATTCCCCTAATCCCTTTGTTTTTAATATAACTTCTTTGGTTATAAATTTGTGTAATTCGGTTTTTAATAATGGCTGTGTTTAACAACTGACTTGACAAATGCCTGAAGATTTAGCAATGGCATCTTGTGTGCAGGTATGTGGTGGCTCCAGCACGCCATTTGGGTCACAGGGACCCAGGATTGATACCTAACGAGGTGATGGGAATAAGGATTCTCTGAGATTAGGGAGGAAAAAGCCTCAGCGCTGATCTTATGGATTCTGTCCCCTGTCCAGCCTTGAGGGGGACGCGTGTAGGTCACAGTTCATCGTGAAGGGTCCAGCTGGCATCTGCGTGGGGATGTACGTAGGACCCAGAACGCAAAGGAGAGAGTGCAGGAAACATATTGGAGTTGGCGAGTGTAGAACGGACTGGGCGCTTCCCCTTGTACTTTAGCTAAAAGTCACCTTCACTTTGAACTCTTGTTTTACTCCCGTGCATTCTTTTAAACATTCCAAGCTCCTGAGCTGTGATTTGAAGGAAATCCCCCTTCCTTCTGCTGGGCAAACAGAAGGTAGAGGTCAAAGGTGTCCATGTGGCATTGGGAAAGGGATCAGAGCGGCAGCAGCCACTGGCGTTCACCTCCCAGCTCCTTTCTCCTGCCGCTTGTCCGCTGGGACCAGAGGATCAGAGGTGCTTCGTCCTGTGGTTTTCCAGAAACGGCTCTGCCGCTGGAGCACCCACTCAGGCCGGGGCTGTGCCGGGACTGGTCCTGGGTGCACCCCACATCTGCCTCTTTCACTTTGGGCAGAACAGACGGGAACCCCGCTTCTGGTCCGTACCCTCTGGCTGGCCACGTCAGTGCTCGCAGCTTTGGGGATGTTAGCAGAGCCGCACTTTACAAGGTGAGTCTCCCAGGATGCCTGGTAGGAACCCCTCACCCTGGAGCTGGGGGCAGCGAGAGGTGCCCTGGACTCTGGACGTGGGCCCGGTCAGTCCCGACTCTGGGATGAGCCTTGTCACCCCCAGAGGATGCCTCCGTGGCACCGCACTTGGTAGCGTAGTGTGTTTCTGGCAAGTATCTTGAATAATAATTGTTGTAAATGAAATCGCATCCTCCACACACTGAAGTTATAGCTTCGAAGAGTTTGGCCTTAACTTCTGGGTGACACTCAGTTATCAGCTCCATGCTTCCTATTTCAGTCCTGTATTTCCCGGCCTAAGGCTGCAAGCACTAAAGTGCCCTTACAGAAAGGCTGTGGCCGTCTCCCTGATAACAGAGATGTTCTCTCCTTTCCTTGGAAAACAGAGTTTAGGGGCAGGCAAGTGCTGTAGAGGTCCTTTAGCTCCGTCTCTTCACAGATGGGGAAACTGAGGCCCACCAGGGTACATGCATGTTCAAGGTTACGTGGTGTTTAGATTCTTCTGGGGAAGGATCATCATGTGTTCCAATCCACAGTCTAATACACTGTCCTGTCCTGGAGTGGCTCAAACTTTGCACTAATAGTTTTCTTATTTATTAATTAAAAATAGAAGCAATGCATAGCAGGATCAACCGTTGGAATGCCACTTCCATGTCTTTTGGCCAAGTTCAAGTATGTAATCTTAGTAGGAGTTGTATTTCACAGCCCGTTCCTCTCAGAGTAGGCAAGGAGGCAGGAGGAAGTGCTTCAGAAAATCCTTCAAAAGCAGAGCCTTGCAGCCCAAGAGCAGTTTAGGCCACAGGTGGGTGTAGAGCCATCTGGTTCCCTGTTACCTCCCCTCTGCTCCAGGGTGGGGACCCTGACCTTGACTTTGACGTAATTGGGCTTCTCTGAGCCTGTTTATTCTCTGTCGGGGCAGCAGGGAGGACACCTGTGCACCCATCTTCCTCCTCTCAGGGTGTAAGGACCAGCAGATGCTGGGGTGTGTCCTGTGCTGTCTGCAGGGCTGGGCTCTGTAGACCCTGAGAGGAGGAAACGGCAAGGCTTTTACCATCTCAGCTCATCTTTGCAAAAAGCCTCCATTAGTTTGGGGGTATTAGCCCACTTATAAGGTGAGGACTGACTGACAGGGTGACTTAATTGGGTTACATAGCTCAGAGGTGGCCTTGAGCCCATCCTCTTACCCAAAGGCCCCCTTCCTCCACTCGACTAAGGGAGCTGTTTAACACAGTGACTGGGGCCTCAGGCTCTGGGACTCAGCAGTTGACTTCACCTACCGTTTCCTCATCTGTAAAATGGGCATCCTTGCAGAACTCCTTCCCAACAGTGTTTTAAAAATTTTTTTGTATTTTTATTTTTTGCGGTATGCGGGCCTCTCACTGCTGTGGCCTCTCCCGTTGCGGAGCACAGGCTCCGGACGTGCAGGCTCAGCGGCCATGGCTCATGGGCCCAGCCGCTCCACGGCATGTGGGCTCTTCCCGGACCGGGGCACGAACCCGTGTCCCCTGCATCGGCAGGTGGACTCTCAGCCACTGTGCCACCAGGGAAGCCCCCCAACAGTGTTTTGAGGGAAGGTTGAGATAGTGCATTTACGTCGTCTGGCACACGCTGACTGCTTGGTAAATGTCAGGTATTAGGCTCGAGGTCGTTAGCAACCAGGTTTTGCAGGGGGATGGGCAAGTCTCAGCCCTTGGAGGCTGCTTTGAAATACCCGTGCTTGCACCTGCCCTGGGCCTGCTGGATCAGAGGTTCATTGCCTTGGTGAAGGGAGTAGGAGGCAGGTTGAAAACCTTCCAGCTCGTCTGATGCTCCGCTGACAACAGCCCTGGCTCTGGGCTTCACGGCTCAGTGTCCCAGAGTCCTTCTCCTCGCAGTGGGCTCTTTGGACCAGCTTTCAGCACCTTAGGCCCCATCCCTGGATCCTCTGCATCAGAATCTGCGTTATAAAAGCTCTGCAAGAGATTCATGAGCACATATAAGTTTGAGAAACACTGTTAAGGTTAAAAAACATGGTGATAAGAAAACCAAACACACAGAACCACACCCCCTGACTTGTTTAGGAAAGGGTGGTTCCCTGGTTGTTTAGCAACCACAGAGTAAGCAACCATGTTGCAGTAACTGATATTTCTGATCTGTGTTTGTTTAAAGGAGGCGTGGGGGCGGGGGCGGGGCGGGGATGTAAGCAGGAGATAAGGGCAGCTAACCTGGGAACTGGGAGCCCGGACAGGGCTGGGCAGGGAAGACCGCAGCCGACTTCAGAGTCAGAACAGGGTTAAATAATGGCCCGGGGGTCGGCTCAGGCCAAGCGGCCAAGTGTCACGGCTTTCTGCAGTTTTCTGGGGTGGGGCAGACGTGCTGCCCTCGGGGCTCCCTCGCCTGCCCATCCAGGCGCATCCAGACCTCTGGCTACCAGTATCCGGGCAGGAGCTCTGAGACGTGGCTGTCAGCTGGCCGCTTCTCCTTCTCCAGGCCGTTCTCTGGGCTTCAGATTTCTCGCTGCCTCTTTCCTGCACTGACCTTGCAGCTTTTCCTTCCCTCCAGACAGCGGCGGCTGCCAGGTGAGAAAGAAATGCTTGAAGGGCCAAGGACAGGAAAGCAGGAGAAGAAAGTGGGATGGTTCTCCGGGCCATCTGTGGATTTGGGTGTGAGTGCACATAAAGGGACAGTGGAAGAGGAAGCTGGGGGGCTGCTCATGTGGTCCCTTGGTCCTTGAGTTAAAGCTCCAATGATGGGAATGTCTGGTGTCCTATAGATTCTGGTGCGGACACTGTTGCTGGAACCTCATCTTGGTTTGGCCACTAACCAGGGCCATCTTGGAGATGGATCTCAAGAGAGATGGGGAAGAGGAAAAGGGCAAAGTGAGAGGAGGGAGTCGATGTCAGAGTCAGGGGCAGGTCTGGCCCCTTGTTATAGGGGATGGTATAGGGATGTGGGAAGGTCTGCAGGGCCTTTTCAGAAGTCCTGCTATTTCTTTAAACCTCCGTGTCCCTATCTGTATAACTAGACTGTAGCCTGATTGTTGAGGATTTTGTTAATCCTTTACTGGTAGAATACTTGCCATATAATAATTATCATTGTTCCTTCTTCAGTCTTTCCACACCCCAGACTGGGCCCCGGTCCCCCCACCTATGTCTGAGAACCCGTGTTGCGTTCCTCCTGCTTCCTCTGCCTTTCCTTCAAAGCATTGGCCTTGGCAGGAAACTGGAGAATGGGAGAGCCATGGAGTAGGAATTGAGCGTATCAAGCCCTACAGCCTTGGTCAGAGCAGAAGGCCAGAGAAATTAAACCCTCTGGTGCATTTGTGACAGGTCCAAGGCCTCTCGCCTTTCCTGCATGTCAGCTGCTTCAAATTTGAGGCTGAAAACTAGCCAAGAAGTTAGGCTAACCTTGGCGAGGCTGCGGTGTGTAATTGCTGCCCGTCAGCTCTGGAGCCAAGGAGCCTGGTGCCTGCCCAGCTCCCCACTTTCCCACCACGGGACCATCACCTTCCTGAGCCTCAGCTTGTCTCTCTGCAAAATGAGGGGGGGTGCTATGATAGTACCCCTTCACTGGTTCTCTTCAGGGCTTTTGTCTGGATTCAGTGAGAGCCAATGCACAGAAGTGCTTAGCTCCGTGTTGGGCACATGCTAGCATTCAGTGTTTGCTGCTGTTAGCAATATTCCATAATGATAGCTCACTTATATAGTGCATTATAGGAGATGGGCATTGTCCTAAACATGTTTTCAATGTTAACTCATTTTATCCTTTTAACAGCCCTATGGTGTAGGTACCACTAATACCCCCATTTCCGATGAGGAAACTGAGGTACAGAGAGGTTAAATAATTTTTTTTGAAAATGTTTGTTTGTTTATTAATTTTTTTTTTTGGCTGCACTGGGTCTTAGTTGTGGCACACAGGATCTTTTAGTTGTGGCATGCGTGCGGGATCTAGTTCTCTGACCGGGGATCAAACCCAGGCCCCCTGCATTGGGAACATGGAGTCTTACCCATTGGACCTCCAGGGAAGTCCCAGAGAGGTTAAATAATTGTTCAGAGTAAGGGTTGAGCTGGGATTCAAACTCAGCCAGTTGGTTCCAGAGTCCGTGTTTTTGATCACTGTGCTGTAGCAGTGATTAGTGATCATTTTGTGCTTGGAGCCCAGTTGACAAGGGAAGAGCAGAGGAAGAAGTGAGGGGGCAGTGATGTCTCCTCCCAGAGTTCCAGCCATCATCCAAGACCAAGGCCTGCTGTTCCGATGGTCCCGGCCACCCGTGCTTGTGGACGAGACTGGCCTTGGTCGTAGAGTGGGCAGCTCCAAGCGCACGGCTGCACTGGGACCTCCCTGGGGGCTGGTGCCACCTTGCCCTGCTCCTGCAGCAGAATGGCCCACCTCTAGCAAGTGGCGTCGTCCTTGCATACGGGGCAGGCTCCTGACCCACTGAGGCAGAGAAGCCAAGCTGCTGAGGAGGGAGAGGGAAGCTGCGGGACTGTAACATTTTCCTGAGAACGAGGTGGCTGTTTCTTGCCAGGCAGGAAGCGTTTGATAACCTAGAAGTGTGTTTCCCTCCTGCATCGCAGCCGCCTGAGCCGTGTCTGATCCTTCCTTGTTCCTTGTCTGTCTTCCCCATGTGCCCCAGGCACGCAGGCGCTTGGAATATGCTCACGGCGGCCGTGTGCATGGCCCTGCTGGGCTGCCTGCAGGCCCAGGAGCTCCAGGGACACGTCTCCGTAATCCTGCTGGGAGCCACCGGGGACCTGGCCAGAAAATACCTATGGCAGGGGCTGTTCCAGCTGTACCTGGAGGAGGCGGGGAAGGGCCACAGTTTTCGCTTCCATGGGACTGCTCTGACGAGCACCAAGCAGGGCCAGGAGGTCATAGCCAAGGTCCTGGAGTCCCTCTCCTGCCCCAGGGACACAGCTCCCGGTCGCTGCACTGAACTCAAGGCTCAGTTCCAGCAGCTGAGCGAGTACCGCCGCCTGAAGACACCTGAGGACTATCTGGCCCTGAGCAAGGACATTGAGGCCCGGGTCCAGCACGAAGGCCTCCAGGAGGCCGGCAGGATTTTCTACTTCTCGGTGCCACCCTTTGCCTATGCAGAGATTGCCCGCAGCATCAACAGCAGCTGCCGTCCAGGCCCAGGTGCCTGGCTGCGCGTTGTCCTTGAGAAACCCTTTGGCCATGACCACCGCTCAGCCCAGCAGCTGGCCACAGAACTTGGGAGCTTTTTCCAAGAGGAGGAGATGTACCGGGTGGACCATTACCTGGGCAAGCAGGTGAGCCTGCAGGTAGGAGCCTGCTGGGGTGGAGGGAGCTGGTGCAGGTAGACCCCGTCCACAGGGCCACACCGATGGCGGAATTGGTCCTGAAGGCGTCGTGGAATCTGGGCTCCCGTGGTCATCTTGACTGTGGGCAGGAGGTAAGAGGCCGGAGGAAAGGTGGTGAGTGGCGAGGGCAGGACTGCTTGGCCCATGTCCACGTGTCCAGCCACCTGTTCTTTAGTGTATCCTGTCCTCTTTGTTTCCCAGCCAGGGTTCGGGCTCTGATGTCTCCGCGTTGCCCTGCATTCTCTGCAGAGGGGACCCTGAGACTCTGGGGTGTGGACCTGGCTTCCAGCTGGGCGTGCTGCGGGAATTAGAAGTAACCACCTTACTCCGCACCCATCGGCTCTTTCTCAGTACCTTTTTCTTACTGAGTTCTGTTTTGAACCAGAAGGCTGGTAACGAGATCTTAAAATGTAATAGGGACCCTAAGTCCATGCTTCTCATCCAGGCCCTGTGGTGGAGCGAGGGGCTGGCCTCCTGGGTGATGCTAGCCAGCTGGCCGGTTCTCTCTGAACATACCTTCAGGGCCCCTTTGGGACGCCTCTTCCCGGAAACTGCAGCAGAGAATACACGAGCACCTGTGTTCTCTGGTGCTGACAAGGACGTGGGCCCAGGGCCACGGGGTGGGGGGGGCACCACGTCCAGCCCTCTTTGGAGTTGCAGTATTCCAAAGACAGGTCCTCAGTCCACTTGCCCATCCTGGTAGGTTTTTTCACTTGTTTATGGGAAGAATTAGAAAAACAAAACCAAACACTGGATGGTATATTCAATTTGAAGCTTTTCTTGCTCCGTTTTTAGTGTTAAAATATCTCTTTTATTAAAAATTGTTGCTAATAGAAGATAGAGAATCCTTAAATATTTTCTTTCTTTGCAAACTAAAAAGCTGGTAACCCTGTATAGGCGACTGAGAGGCTTCTGGAGTCCTTACTGGGCTGTGAAGCCCTGGCGTCCAGGGACCGCTGCTCCCGAGAGCGTCTCTTCTGAGCAGGTGGCAGAGAGGCTGGGGGCCCTTCCTTGGGTCAGGACTCCCTCTGCGTCCTGAGAGGAGCCACAGCACCACAGTCTCCTTCCCTGGCAGGTGGTGGCCCAGATCCTGCCTTTCCGAGACCAGAACCGCAAGGCCCTGGACGGCCTCTGGAACCGGCACCACGTGGAGCGGGTGGAGATCATCATGAAGGAGACCGTGGACGCAGAAGGTGCGTGAGTGGTCGCCACCCCGCGTCTGCTGTGAGGCGTCGGCCCGCAGGACTGGAGGGTCTGCCAGGCCCCCGCGCCTTGGCCAGTGCTCAGAGGGGAGCTTTTGCCGGTGTGTGGTCTCCCTCCAGGGCCTGCCGTGTGCCCAGCTCTGGGTCATGCTATACCCCGGGGTGCCTGCGGGCAAAGCCCACGTGGTCATCGCTGCCCTTAGGGAGCGTGCAGTCCCGTTAAGCAGCCTTGGCCCAGGTGCTGAAACACTGGCCAGCAGTGAACCCTGGGAGGTAAGCTGGCTTTCCTGTGAGTGTGGTGGAGACCAGCAGCTCGCACGAGGGCTCCCGGGCTCGTATGCAGTGCTTGCACCCGCGGCCCCCTCTGCCTTCTCCCCCCTGCTTGCCTCCTGTCCCTCCTGTGCATTCGCTCTCAGCTCACTGGTCACTTGGTTGGGGAGCCTCTGCTGACCGTCCTGACAAGGTCCGCTTCTGCCGCACACTCAGAGCACACGTGCCTCCCTTCCCTGCCCCTCTGCGCTCTTGGCCTCGTCTCATCCCCGCCCCATCTGTCTTTCCCAGCTCCTCGCTGGCACCTGGCACACACCTGGGAAGTGCTGACCAAACACCGCAGGAATGAACAGTGTTGACCTGGGAGTAGGGACACCTGAGTGTCAGGCCTTTCTCTGCATCCGAGTGACCTCAGCACGCCCATTCTTGTCCCTCATCTGTGAGGCCAGCGGGTTGGGTCGACAACAGCAGCTGAGGCCCCTTTGAGCTCCAGCGTTCCGTGATTCCATCACGTCTTGTGAGCATTGACTGTGTGTGTTCAAAGCATCGGTTCTAACCCCAAATCATTAAAGCTAATTCTTACTGTTTGCTGATGCCCCCAGTAGCCATATGAGATGGGCACCGTTATTAGCTTCCACCTACAGATGAGGTTTGGTGACAAGCCCAAGGTCACGGCCGGAAGTGGTTGAGCTGGGTCCTGGTCCAGGCAGTCTGGCCCCGGCACCAGGCTCTGCACCACTGCAGTCAGCTCGTCCCCACCACTGTGTTCCATAGCCTGGGCGGCAGTGCCGGAGGCCACCGTCCCCACCCCACAGTGTGTGCCTGGGCGGAGGGGAGGGCCCCTCGGGCCTGGATGGGGGACCAGAAAGTCTGTCTCTTTCTCTTTCCC